AGAGCAGGAAGGAAGCAGGAGAGGAGGAGAAAGAACTAGGGACTCACTATCAGAAGCAAGACTGTAGAGGCAAAGGAAGGTAGGGCTCAGAGACAGGCTGCAAGAAAGCCATGGGAATGGATGTGGTAGATTCAGAGTGGTGACATCAGATAACAAAGCAGCAACAGGCACTTCATTATTCTTTTTCAAAAATGGTAAAAAGGGAAGAAAGGGGCAAGGCTAATGGCTTCAGGGAATAACAAAGGAAAGGAGAAGTTTTTGTTTTTTTTTACGTTTATTTGTGCATGCCTAAGTGAAAGAAATCTGAGGGGGAGACTGGAAATGCAGCAAAGAAAGGGCCTGCCGCTTTTGAATGCCTATAGCATCGCCATGTGACTCACTCGCTTGGCAGTGAGCTCACACATTGCCTTGCATTGGCACGAGTGTACATTTAGCAATGCTGGCACCAGCTAAGTGCTCAATAAATCTACTTATTAGTGTTTTTTGTTCATGTACCTACCCATATTATCTAGCCAATAAAAGTGTGTATTACACAACAGTGTACCGCCCCATCCCCAAAAAGGAAAGAGGGTAGAAAGGGACTCTTGAGTAATACAGATGTAGAACAAGGATTTTCAGCCACTAATTCATGGTGCCAGACCACAGAAAATCATTTTCTCTCTTCGCACCTCAGTTATTCGAATTTAAATGGGGAAAAAACCATGTACCTTGCAAGCCTATAAGGATTCATTGAACTACTTAGAAAGTACTTTATGAGGCAATGTTTTGGTTTATGGCATAGCAGCTAAAGCCACTGCCTATAACATCAGCACCTCGTATGGGTCATGTCCCAGCTGGTCCACTTCTGATCCAGCTCCTTGCTAATGGCCGAGGAAATATGGCCCAAGTACTTGGGCTTCTGCCACCCATTGGGGACACCTGGAAGAACCTCCTGGTTCCTGGCTTCATTTTTGTGGCCTGGTGGAGCCCTGGCCCTGTAGCCATCTGAAGAGTAAACGAGTTCTCTCCTTCTCTCTGTGTTAATTCTGACATTCAAATAAGCGGTTTTTAAAAAGTACTTTACATACCACTGTTGCTCAGGCTGTAACAAGAGATACATTTTAATCATTTTCCCTGGCAGTTAAAGCACCGAGAAAAGTCCCTGAGTTTTCAGACTGTCTAGGACTGAGGACAGGTCAACAGTCAAGAAGTAGAGCAGCCATTGTTCTACTGCATTCTGGAGAACTGAAGCACGAGATGAGAAGCATCAGGCTTCGCAAGACCTTGTTGTTTATGGATTAACATGTTTTCCGCCACATCTAATCACTGCAGTTTAATATTTGTTCACAAAAATTCCTTTTCCTGTAATTAGCCCCATACTTAAAAAACCTATAGCTATGATGAGTTTCATGTGCTAAGTATCTAATATATACCTTCCCTAAAATAAAGCACTCATTCCTGTAATCACCCTACATCATTTCCTGATTCAGTCTAAAACTGCTTTAGTTTACTCTACTTCTAAAACCCTTAGCAAGAGACCCAGCAAGCCATTTGTACATTCATTAAATCTTCCTACCCCTAACCATTACCATTCACAAAGCACTGTTGAGCACATAAAAGAAACCAAACGAGAAAATTCATTCCAACAACATACACTGAATCGTTCCGTCGAAGTCCTAAATGTCTAATGCTAAACAGATAAGCAAACAAGAAATTTCTCTATCATTTAATCAGTTAACCTCCATGTTCTCCATCCTAAATCTAAAGAAGCATGAGACCATGTTGTGCTCTATTTAGAGCCTGAAGAACACAACCAAGCAGAGGAGAGATCCAGCAGTGGACTCTGCTCTGAAGCACTGCCATGAAGTGAAAGGAAACGGAACACAGATCATCCATGCCAACAACACAGTGCGACACTGTAAACTATAATCAGTCATCCCAAGTCTTCATCACATCCAGTTTTTCCACCACTCCAGCAGCAAGAGAGCCAGTGACGGAAGCAAGAGAACCTCACTGGTAACAGGGACAGATACTTGACAAAACAATTTTGGAGCCACATGACATGCTTCAGGAAGTCACTCCCACCCATTCTCTTAGGCTCACTGACCTATCATTTAGGGGACAACCATGTATCCTGTTCCCAAAGTACAGAAGACATGAGGAACATGGAAATCAAGCGGTTGTTTACAATCTAGCTTTGTGGAGCATTTCCCCAATAGTGATTCTGGCAACTTAAAATGGACTGCTGGAAATATTTTCCCCAATCTTTTACTATGAAAAACTTCAAACATGCCACAGTTGAAATAACCCTTTGGTAAACATCCATTTACCACTAAGATTCTACCATGTACTAGCCTCGATCGATCACATGTTCATCTGATTTTTTTTGGATCATCTGCTGGCATTTTTCAAATGAGATTTTATGTCAAGTACAACAAAACACAACAAAATTGTTGCCTTTCAAAACAATCTTGACAGATGAAGTATGTATTAAAAAAGCCTAGAAAATACAAACCAATATTCCAATGTTCATGTTTTCCACCAAGCTCCGATGAAAATCTACTGAGAGCTCATGACGACTTGGTGGTGACACCCTGGACCACCACCTGGACCAGCATCAGGCCTCCTCACCACTCGTGAAGCCTTTCCCAACTTCCACCTCCCTTTATCAGAGTTAACCACACCTGCCAAGGGGCTACATTCTACATCATCTGTAACTGATACACACTATCTGCTATGGGGCCTCCCAGTCTCTTAGGAAACCCAGACCTCATGGATGACGGCAAAGGCCACTTATTTTCCTCTGAATCGCAGCAACCAGCAGAACACTTAGGCTTCAGCAAGCACCAAAAACGGCCAAGTCAAAATCAAGGACCTGAACCTGTCTTGAGCTTGGAGCCAGGAGTTTAGCTGCATCTGGAAGTGACGCAAATCACAGCAGCTCTTTCTAAAGACTCAACTTAGAGCTCTGGTCTCAAGCACTTGAGCTCTAGAAACAGACTCCATGGCCATAAACCCCAGAAACTCAAGCCCAGTGGGCAAAGGCTCTAAACATACCATGCTTCAGTTTCCTCCTTTGGAAAACAGATATTATTTATTCATTTGCTACATTGTTAAGGATAACCTGGTATACAGTGTTTCATCAACTAGCTGCTACGGCCTGAGCAGGTTAAAAGCTCTCAAGTCTGGGGGGTAACAGTGAAAAGGAAGGTGGCAAGAATGGCTGGGCAGGAAGAATCTCCTTTAGCATGACTGGTCAGCAGAGCAAGCAAATGAGACCATTTTCCATTTGTTCCATTCCTCAGGCCAAACATGACTAGATCTTTCATTAGCAAAAGCCAACCATCCTGTGCTCAGCCTATGCAGACTTGATGCTGGGCACATGGGACTCCAGTGGGGCTGGATTCTGGCCACAAACTGCAAATGCTACAGGCTCCTCTCTGAGGCTCTGCCAGGCTCTTAGCCATTTCCTTCATCCCCATAATTCTACCCAACGTCGGGAATCCCTACGAGTGGCAATTTTTAGGGCTGGCGCTGTGGCTCACTAGGCCCATCCTCCACCTTCAAGCAGCAGCATCCCACATGGGCGCTGGTTCTAATCCCACCTGCTCAAATTCCCATCCAGCTGCCTGCTTGCAGCCTGGGAAAGCAATAAATTACGGCCCAAAGCCCTGGGGCCCTGCACCCATATGGGACATCCAAAAGAAGCTCCTGGCTCCTGAGTTTGGATGGGCTCAGTTTTGGCCGTTACAGCCATCTGGAGGGTGAACCAGCATGTGGAAGAGGTTTCTCTCTGTCCCTCTTGTTTGTAAATGCTTTTACAATGAAAACAAAATCAATCTTTACAAAACAAAAATAGGGTGGTGATGTCTTCCATAACCTCAGCTTCAGAGTGGGTTTGCTCCTTTGGGCTACGCCACCCTGAACAATCCTCATCTTCCTCCTGCCCCCCTCTTTACAGTGTGCAGCCATGCCATTCAACACACGTAGCAACTTGAAACCTCAGATTATGGCAAAGCCACCGAGCAATAGCAGGGGTGCCAAGAAGCGGGGCTGCTGCCAGGCACCTCCCCGGGCCCCATATGCACTGACCCAACTACATGCCCAGGGGGCCTCCCGCAGTTGGCATTCCTTTGTGCTTCTGTTCATTTTCTTCTTCCCCCTTGAAGCAACCACTTCCTCCAGCCCCAGAGCTGTAGCCCATTCCAACCCAAGGCACCCCTGAAGAGCCAGGTGAGCCACCACTTTTCCAGGGAAGCCTCCTGGGAACCGTTTTAGTCCACAGACATCCCTCCCTCACACTCCCAACAAACAACTGCCCTATTTACTGTCTGCAGCAAAACACACAGTCACATACATGTACGCCATTAGATCACAGTTCTGTGTGTGCAGATGTCCTTTCCTAAGGGCGAGAACTAGCCTCACATGTTTTTCAAAGCCATGACACTCAGTGGGTCTCCAGGTGTTGAACAGTGACTCAAACCAGTGGGTTTTTTTTTTTTTTTTTTTTTTTTTGGCCTGCTCGCATCCTTAGGCTAAGGTAGGAGGGCATAGAAGCCTGAAAAAGGTTGAGTGACAAATGGACAGAAAAGAATCGAGGCAAACAGAATAACAAAGCTTAAGAAAGGTGTTCCATTAACATCCTTTTCATTGACTTGCTAGAACAAAGGTTTAAGAGAGAGAAGATGCCAACTGCAAAGGGGGCAGGAAAGTCACATCACTTGGAGGAAAGAAAAAAGGCCAAACAAACAACTGAATGCTGGTCCACTCTGGTCACTCACCAGAGTGAGTGAATGTGACAGAGGCCACCAGGGTGACACGGGTAGAGATGCAGCAGGAGAGGGTATGAAGGGGGAGGGGGATAGGAGGCGTAAGATGGCAGAGGGTAGTTGGGGAGCAGGTTAGCCGATTGGGCAGGTAAGTGAATAGATGGGGGGCAGGGAAGTGGGTAGGTGGTTAGGTGTTTAGTTCAGAGGGAACAGGTGTGGGGCGTGTTATTTAAGATCCGGCCCCTCCCTCACCTTGACCCGGAAGCGGATGAGTGCTAGCCTCACGCAGTGGCTCAGGCAGGCCGGTGGCAGGAACCAGGCCCGTGGTGGAGGGGTGCCCTTGTTGCCCACGTGTCCCACGATCAGTTGCGCTGTCTGCCGCTCAGCCTGGCACCGACGGCCCCACTCGGCCAGCCGGTCCTTGCCCAGGCCCCCTGGGAACATGACCACCAGCTCCAGGCCGTCGCCGCCGGGATAGGCACAAGCCTGGCACAGCGCTGACAAGTAGCCCAGCATGGCATTCCATTGGCCGCCACACACCCAATCCGTTTGGTAGCCGCCATAAAGCCGCGGCAGCGCCGAGCCCGCGTCTACCAGCACCCTGGCACCAGGCAGTGGTGGGGGCGGCGGCGGCGGCAGCGGTGGGTGCAGCCCGGGCGGTGCCTGACCGTGGTGGTGGAAGTGGTGAGCGGGGTGATGGTGCCGGGTCGGCCCTGCGCCCCCGGAATAGGCACCAAAGGCAGCGGGCGGGAGCGGCGGTTGCAGAGGCGTGGAGCCCCTGGCGGTGCGAGGAGCTCCGGGCGCTAGGGCTGCCGTCGGGGGCAGCTGGCGGTGCAGGTGCAGGTGCTGCTGCTGTTGCTGCTGCTGGCGAGAAACCGTGCGTGCGAGCTTGAGGAGGTCCACGGGCACCACGGCCCCGGGACAGCGCTTCTCCAGGAACTCTTGGAAGCCCTGGACGCCCATGCTTCGTCGGTAGGCAAGATGAGACGGAGGCTGCGCGAGCAGGCTAAGGCTGCGATCAGGGCGCGAAGCTGGGGGCGGGCGCGTGCGCACTCCGCGGGGGGCGGCAGGGGGCGGGAAAAGGATTCCCGAGGGGAGGGGTCTGGGAGCGGTGGGATGAGGGCGGGGAAGGGAGGGGAGGGGAGCACAAGCTGGAATGGGGTGCGGAGAAACGGGGGTAAGCCGACCGGACTCAGAAGAGGCTGCGAGGACAAAAGCGATGATGGGCTCTAGTCACGTCTCATTGCTTTTTCTCCTCTCCGGCTGGGCTTAACCGCTGCAAAGGGGGTGAAGCCTGTGCCTTCCACCTCCGGGAGCCATGTTGCCTCGTCTTCTCGGTGGTACACGCTTTCTAGCTGGAGGAGGGGCGACGGGGCGGGGCGGGGATCAGGGGCATCCTGGGAGTTGTAGTGTTGGGCTCAGTGGAACCGGGATGCAGTCGAGGCACCGGACTACCACCCCTGTCAGGCCTTGCGTTCCCAGGCTCGCAGGAGGCGGGGCCTGCTGATGTGGGTTGAGCATTTGCACTCCAATAGCTTGCATCCCACAGAGTGGCTTCAGGGTATTTACCGCTTTTCCCAGGAAAAAGAGTTTGGGGACAGCAAGAGGGTGGGGAGGAGTGGAGTGATGAATCACGGGAAAAGAAGTAGACTGGATGGATGGAATTTAGCTAATGTGAGGTAAAAACCCCCAACAGGGGAGAATTTTCTCCCAGTGGAAAAACTAACAGCATGTTTTTAATGAATGAGAAGAACACACTTGAGATATTGAACATGCTAACCATGACCGTGTCTGTGCAACTCCACGTTTAGCTACTGTAATGTTTGCAAGAGTTGGTGGTCTCAGGAATACTGACACTTAACAGTGTTCATTTGCCCAAGGCAGCATTGAGACAAAGGAAAAGTACATATCTCCTGCCCTAGCTCTGGGAGATAAGCAGCCACACGAATTAAAGTGCAAGTTGCATCTTTTCGGTACCAAGGAACTAGTATGGCCAGCGGTGAAGGCCTTGATTTCCAAACCTCATTGGCAATTAGTCTGTCTGGGAGCTTTTCAAAATAGCTTGCAAGGGCTCTAATTTCAGACATATGGAGACATAATCATTTGAGAAATCTATCTGCAGCAGGCTCCATGAAATCCATGGAACACCTGCCTGTGGTTAGGAGTTTACGGCCCACTCTGTGAGCAGGAATAAGCAGAAGAGGAGATGCGAAGGGAGCAGTCGCATCCATGGCCCTTGCTGGCAGTGGAAACTGGCAGGCAGTTCTCTCTACATTGTGGGGCCTTGTGTTGGACGGAGCAGTTACCACACTGCTGTTCCCTGTTAGAGTACCTACGATCCCACTTCCAATCTCACTCCAGCTTCCTATGAATGCAGACTCAGGGAGGCAGCAGTCAGGGCTCAACTGATGAGGTTTCTGACTTCGGGACTCCGTGGCAGTAGCCTTGCACATTTGGGAAGTGAACCAGCACATGGGAATTTCGATTTCTCTTCCCCTCAAACAAAAAAAGTGAAAAGGGGCAGTTGGCATGGCATAGCAAGCTAATCTTCCACCTGCAGTGCTGGCATCCCACATGAGTACTGGTTCTAGCTCCAGCTGCTCCACTTCTGATCAAGCCCCATGCTAATGCATGGGGGAGTGGAAGATGGCACAAAGCCTTGGGCCCTTGCATCTACATGGGGAGACCTAGAGGAAGCTCCTGGTTCCAGATTTTGACTCTTCTCAGCTCTGGCGGTTGTGGCCATTTGGGCAGTGAATGAACTGGTGAAAGATTCTCTCACACTGAATCTCTTTTTTATCCTGTTTATCTCTTACTCTTGTTTTAAAAGGTTTATTTTATTTTTATTTGAAAGGCAGATATACACAGGAGGAAAGACAAAGAAGATCTTCCTTCTGCTGATTCACTCCCCAAGTGGCCGCAATGGCCAGAACTGAGCTGATCCGAAGCCAGGAGCCTCTTCCGGGTCTCCCACGCGGGTGCAGGGTCCCAAGGCTTTGGGCCATCCTTGACTGCTTTCCCAGGCCACAGGCCGGAAGCTGGATGGGAAGCAGGGCTGCCGGGATTAGAACCGGCGCCCATATGGGATCCCGGGGCGTGCAAGGCGAGGACCTTAACCACTGTGCCACCGCGCCGGGCCCTTAGCCACATCACTCTTGAGGCATTACTGTCCTTGATGTCTGTGCCACAACCCTGTCCTTATTGTTTTTAATATACACTTGGGTTTGAAACTACTGCTTGTGAAAAGAAAAGTTGCACTCATTTAAGAACTGGCACTAGAAGTGGGATGAGACTGATGACAGATCCAAAACGTGGAGCTGACGGTGATGGGTGATCCTCCAGGAAAGAAGTGGGCATTCTGGTTTATGTGGCTGTGAAGTACCTGCTGATTGCTCTTAGGATTCAAAACAGAGCAGCCCTTCTGCTTGTACAGAAATCTACAATTTCTGGGGGCCAGAGATGCTGGGACCTTGCTGACAGACCGCGGATCTTTAAAGCTCAATTTAGGGCCCATCTTGCAGGTTCAATGGCTATATTCTAACCTTGCAACCATCAAGATCCCATATGGATGTCAGTTCATGTCCTGCCTGTTCCACTTCCCATCCAGCTCCCTGCTTGTGGCCTGGGAAAGCAATCAAGAACAGCCCAAAGCCTTGGGACCCTGCACCCGCGTGGGAGACCTGGAGGAAGTTCCTGGATCCTGACTTCGGATCAGAGCAGCACTGGCTGTTGCAGTCACTTGAGGAGTGAACTAGTGGATGGAAGATCTTCCTCTCTGTCTCTCCTCTCTGTATATCTGACTTTGTGATAAAAATAAAAATAAATCTTAAAAAAATATATAGAAGCTTCAGCAGAATGACTCAGGAGGCTATTCAGCCTACTTCCTTTAGCAGATCTGATGATTTGGAGCCTAATGATGAGATCCCTGGCACTTGTTTTTAGCATTCCGAATTCCCACAAAAGGAGCCTGCTGTGATGGCTCAGTGGCTAAATTCTTACCTTGCAAGCACCAATTCATATCCTGGCTGCTCCACTTCCCTTCCAGCTCCCTGCTTGTGGCCTGGGAAAGCAGTCGAGAAAGGCCCAAAGCCTTGGGATCCTGCACCTGCATGGAGACCCAGAAGAGGCTCTGGGCTCCTGACTTCAGATCGGCTCAGCACCGGCCATTACAGCCACTTGGAGAGTGAATCATCGGACGGAAGATCTTCCTGTCCGTCTTTCCTCCTCTCTGTATATCTGACTTTCCAGTAAAACTAAATATTTTTTCTTTGAAAAAAAGAAAGTACTGTGGTTTCCAGCTCAGCTGCTTCTACAGTAGTCTGCATTGTGTGAGGAGACAGCTTTCCAGCTGGCCTGCCTGCAGCTCTGTCATGGTGTATTCAGTACATCTGATCGTGCTCACTCTATTCTGGTTAATCATTTCACTAACCATAACAGTGACCTCAACTGCTTTTTTCCTGTGACAGTCATCCTCTGGACATTTACTGTTATAAATGTAAGTTGTCATGATCCATCCTCGGCCTATGGGGATCAGAAATTGTGGAGGTGTGACTAGGTTAAGAAACACATAGTTCAGGGCCAGAACAATGGCATAGTAGGCAAAGCCTCTGCCTGCAGAACTGGATTCCCATAGGTCCACCAGTTCCCACCCAGCACCCTGCTTGTGGCCTGGGAAAGCAGTCAAAGACGGCCCAAAGCCTTGGGACCCTGTACCCACGTGGGAGACCTGGAAGAATCTCCTGGGTCCTGGCTTTGGTTTGACTCAGCTCTGGCCTTTGTGGCCATTGGGTAGTGAACCAAAAAGACTGAAAATCTCTTTGCCTTTCAAATATCTTTAAAAAAAAATTGTTTTTATTGGAAAGTCAGATATATACAGAGAGGAGAAGAGACAAACGAGGAAGAGCTTCCATGTGCTGATTCACTCCCCAAGTGGCCACAACAGCTGAAGCTGCGCCAATCCAAAGCCAGGAGCCAGAAAGAAGCCTCCTTCAGGTCTCCCATGTTGGTGCAGGGTCCCCAGACTTTGGTCTGTCTTCGCCTGCTTTCCCAGGCCTCAGGCAGGGAGCTGGATGGGAAGCGGGGTCATCGTGATTAGAACCGACGTCCATATGGGATTCCGGTGCATGCTAGGTGAGAATTTTAGCCATTAGGCCACCGTGCTGGGCCTCCCAAATGTTTGTAGGCATATCTCACCATTCAGGTGATTCTAACATAGTCCCATGTTTGAAAATTAGCACCCATCTAAGTGCACATCCCAGGCCCAACCACACTGTTGAGTTGTATTTGTGTTCCTTAAGCACAACATTCCAAACACATAGTGCACAACAATGGCCTAAGCCATAGACAGGATATAGATAACAGAGACCAAGACCCTGAAGACAGAAAGGGGCTAGTGGATGTTGTAGAATCATGATTTCAACAGAGTGCTTTTGAGCCAGTGTGCAGGCTGCAATTGCATGACCAGTTCAAACAACTGTTTGCTCCTTAAGAATTTGCTTAGGGATTGGGATGCTGTGGTGAAGCTACCCTGTGAGCGGTGTCTTCTGGATGCTCTGCTTCCCGTCCAACTCCCTGCTAATGTGCCTAGGAGACAGTGGAATATGGTTTAAGTGCCTGGGACCCTGCAACCAAATGGGAGACAGGGAAGAAACTCCAGGTTCCTGGCTTCAGACAGCTTCGGCTGTTGTTATTTGCGGAGTGAACCTGCAGATAGATACATAAATAGATCTTTCTTTCTCTCCCTCCCTCCCTTTGTAAAATGTTCTTTCAAATAAATACATACATTTTTTAAAAAATCACATAGCATTCTGAATCTGTCCTGTGTCAGCGACACAGGGACTCACTGTTTAACAAATTTATTTAATACCAGCTACATGCCACGGATAAAGCTGCACCCTGGAAGAAAAATATTATTTTTGTTTTGTTTTTTAAGATTTAATTATTTTAATTGGAAAGGTAGATTTACACAGACAGAAAGATCTTCCTTCATCTGATTCACTCCCCAAGTGACTGCAATGGCCAGAGCTGAGCCGGT